ACTCTCTCTCAGGAAATTCCAAGGGTCTTAGGAGCTCTGTGCCAGGACTGGCTGAAGACACAATATATATTTCTTACTAGATAAATGGAAAAAAGATGAAATGTTAAAAGAAGGAGAACAAGTAAATGATGATGCTGGGGAAAGAGACTGTTACTTAGTCCTCTAGAGTGACTGATAGTAGGGGCACCTGGGAAACTTAGTCGGTTGAGCGTCTGCCTTAGTCTCAGGACATGATCCCAGTGTCCTGGGATCAAGCCCCACGTCGAACTCCCTGCTCAGCTGGGGGCCTGCTTCTCCCTCTCCCCTTACTTGTGCTCTCTCTTTCTCTCTCTCAAATAAATAAATAAAATCTTAAAAGAGAGAGAGTGTCTGATAATAAGAGAATAACACTTATTATAGTGATTTCTCATACAAGCCACATCATGGTTGATGACAGGATCAGGCCTCATATCTGTTGTCCCTGAAAACTAGATTGAAGCAGATTCACATGTTTGGCCTGTAAACTCTGCCAGGAGTTTCTGGAGAAAACCGCGACCCAGGACCCCTGAGCTCCTGCCCCAACGGTAGAAGACTGGTACTATCATCTGGGGTGTGACGTATGAGCCGTGCTGGTTTTTCTGCTGCTTTTCTAGGCACCTGATGTGGTCATCTAGGTGGCCTCCTTGCCCCTTTTGGGGTCACAGCCTTACCCCACTGAATCAAAACTGAACGTGGGCCCAGAACTGTCTAACAAGGTTTCCAGGTGATTCCTTTTTTTTTTTTTTAAGAGTTTATTTATTTGTCAGAGAGAGGGAGAGGGAGAACCCGCACACACAAGCAAGGGGAGCAGCAGGCAGAGGAAGAGGGAGAGGGAAAAGCAGGCTCCCCACTGAGCAGAGAGCCCTAAGGGGGACTCAATCACAAGATCCTGGGATCCTGACCTGAGCCAAAGGCAGACGCTTAACTGACTGAGCTGCCCAGGCATCCCTCCAGGTGATTGTTATTGAAGAGGAATGGCTGTCATAGATGATCTTTGAAAGTTCCTTTCAGTACTGTCATTTTCCATGATGGCACTCAGGTGGGTACAGATGACTTATTTCTAAATAACATGAAACAGACAACAGGGCCAGGACAACTGGCATTTTATCAAGTTATTATCTTTCAGATTCTTTCCACCAGTATATCCCATATATATACAGAACTAGAAACATCCGTCCCCACTGAGTTTATTTTTCTTTGCTCCTAACAGTCGTGAGACCACCATTCAGACCGAAGTTAACTCAAGAAGCCCTGATGGCTCTAAGGCTGGTCATACACCCAGAGAATACTCTCCCCATTCCCATTGTTATTCCCATAAATATTCCTATACATATTGAGCATTATTTGCCCTGGCAATTCTCTACTTCCCATGGTCTGAATGTGCCACTAATTTTAGAAAGCAAATCGCAAAAGGGCAGTCTGACGGTCCTTGAGAACGCTACTGCATTCTTTATCCATTGGATTTCCTGGAGTGGTGTTTATTGTCGGCATGAACCATAAGGAGCTAGCAACTGCGGGTAGTTTGTTAAGAAGATCGCTCAGTTGTACTACAGGCTTGTTTTTCAATCACTACTTTTGATCTGTAAGACACCCTGGAATCCACAAGGGGGAGTAGGATATGGAAATATGTGAGGTACAATATGGAGTAGGATATGGAAATATGTAAGACACAAACTTTCTCTTGTAAGGACTCAAAGCGTGGTAAAAGAAAGAAAATATGTGCATAACAAATAAATATGGTGCACGTCGAGTGTCCTGAGAGAGGACCTAAGTGCTACAAGTTTTCAAAGAGGATAGAGATTTCTGTACACACGGATAGTCAATGAAGTCTTCAGGTAGTGTCCTTTCAGCTGAGTCTTGAACACTTTTGGAAGGTAGGGACATGAACGTGTGCGGTGCATCCATGTTTGAGCAAGAAGGCAGAGCCCAGAACCAGCAGGGGACCATTTGTATCTCCAGTACCTAGTTCAGTGACTGGCACAGAGGAGATATTGAGTGATAATCATGTGTTCTGACTCAAGACAAACCATTGACTGATTATCGTGGGTTTTTTTTAACTTTTTTTTTTTTAATTTCTTTTCAGCGTAACAGAATTCATTGTTTTTGCACCACACCTAGTGCTCCATGCTATGCGTGCCCTCCATAATACCCACCACCTGGCTCCCCCAACCTCCCACCCCCGCCCCTTCAAAACCCTCAGGTTGTTTTTCAGAGTCCATAGTCTCTCATGGTTCACCTCCCCTTCCAATTTCCCTCAACTCCCTTCTCCTCTCCATCTCCCCATGTCCTCCATGTTATTTGTTATGCTCCACAAATAAGTGAAACCATATGATAATTGACTCTCTCTGCTTGACTTATTTCACTCAGCATAATCTCTTCCAGTTATCATGGGTTTTTTAAAAAAAAGATTTGATTTTATTTATTTGACAGACAGAGATCACAAGTAGGCAGAGAGGCAGGCAGAGAGAGAGGGGGAAGCAGGCTCCCTGCTGAGCAGAGATTCCAATGTGGGGCTCAATCCCAGGACTCTGAGATCATGACCTGAGCTGAAGGCAAAGGCTTAACCCACTGAGCCACCCAGGCGCCCCATATCATGGGGTTTTTAAAAGATTTTATTTATTTATTTATTTATTTGAGCTAGAGAGAGCAGGGGGGAAAGGGCAGAGGGAGAGGGAGAATCGGACTTCCCGCTGAGGGGACGCAGGACTCTATCCCAGGACCCCAGGATCATGACCTGAGCCAAAGGCAGATGCTTAACTGACTGAGCCACCCAGGCACCCCTGATTATCAAGATTTTGGTTTTTCCTTTCTTTGGAAAAGAGACAAAAGAAAAAAAATAATTATACAAAATGGAAAAATTAGAAGGCACATGCTGATTTCAAAAACATTAAGATGTGACAGCAAAGTGCTTTTCTGAATCTTGAAAACATGGTATTTGGTGAGTTTGAGTGGAGTAGACCTTGTGAGTACTACATTAGAGGCAAGTACATAGCTGGAATAGGGAGGATAGCTGGAAAGGTAGATGGAATCAGACTATGCAAGGGTCTGGACTTCCCGCCAACACTTTTCACTTTTAACAGAGTTGCTGGAGGATTTTTGAGCAGGCGGTCTGCTCAAAATAATAATAGAGAAAAAATAATTAATGGTAGTTAAATGCCATAAACTATGGGACAGCTCTCCACTGCTTTGTGGGGGGAAAATAATTAGAATTAGTGAGAAAATTAATACTGTTCCTGACGAGAAACAGCAGAGAACTAAAATGTATTGAGTGTTACATAATGACAAGGAATATGCGAATTGGCTTTGAACGCTATTTAACTCAGCAACCTAGAACAGGTATTATTCATGTCATCTTTCTGTTGAAGACCCCTACTTTAAAAAGGATTAAAAACTTTCCCTGTCTACAGCTAGTGGATTCTGACGTTGTTTTTCAACACAAAGCTAAAAGTGTGAAACTGGAGACCAAGTAAAAGGACTGTGAGATACTGAATTTGGAGATTCCTGTGCCAAAGAGCTTCTTCCCCAGGTCAGTCTTTCTCCACCCAGCTCCACGCTCCCCTTCCCCCCAGCACGTCGGAAGGTCTAGTACACTACAGAGAACTTCCTGGCCCTGTGGCTTCCAGAGGAGCTTAGTCAATGGGATGAGGGAGAATAGAGTTGAGGATTGGCTCCCAATCCTGGGATCCGGCCGGGTGACTGCTCAATGGAAGGTCACAACTCCTGCCATCAGCACAGGAGAAAATACAGCTTATAAAGGCATCTTCAGGTTGGCATGTGTTCAAATCTTTTTTCCCTTTCGAGGAGCCAGAAACTAACTCAGCCAGTGGTGTAGTGCTGGTTTGAAGAACACTTTTTACCAGACCCGGCCAGTAAGAAGATTGATCAGTGGGGAGAACCTAAATAGCAAAACACAGTTCAAGGACCCCAAAGAGAGTCTCAATCTACTGATTTTCTTCCTTTCTTTCTTCCTTCCTTTCTTTCTTTCTTTTTTTTTTTTTTAAGATTTTATTTGACAGAGAGATATCGCAAGTAGGCAGAAAGGCAAGGAGAGAAAGGGGGAAGCAGGCTCCCTGCTGAGCAGAGAGCCAGATGCACAGGACTCTGAGATCATGACCTGAGCCAAAGGCAGAGGATTAACCCACTGAGCCACCCATGCACCCCCTGATTTTCTCCTAGTATTTCCCAGGCTTAGTTTTTAAGGGGCTGAGAAATGGATACCTTGAACTTGGCATAGCTTATCAAGTCTCCCTTGCACTACGCATCTTATATATAATTTCTTTCCTTCACAAACGTTGATTCCCCTCTCCTTTCCTGGGGGAGGATGTCTTAAGTATAAAAGATAAAGGGATTAAGCTGAATGATATTGGTCATTTCCCACACAAAAATCTAAGCCCCCTAAGTTATTTGGGCATTTGATGGTTTTCATTTAAAGCTAAAGATACATATTTTTTTTTAGGATCTTTTTACCATATTTTATTTATAGACTTCTCTATGTACACGATTTGTGGAGGAACCACGTCCAGCTCTTTGTCCTGTAGCCAACTGCTCCATTTCACAGTAGCTCTTATTTTTTCAAGATAAAATGAAGAGAACAATAGCAAATTAGAACTACTGTTATCTTGCCTTTAAAAAATTGGGATGCTGGAGGATTTACCGAGATAGTATGTACAAACTGCTTAGCCTAGGGTCTGGCACGGAAGTCACAGCTACAGGAAAATAAAGCAAGCTCCTGAGCATCCACCAGCCACAGGTTAGGCAGTGGAGAGTTTTCCCAAAGTTCATGGCAATGAACTACCAGTGGTCCTAGCAAGAGGTTCGAGATGCTAAGTGCTGAGCCACGGAAGGGGGCACTAAAAAGTCGGCGGTGCCGGGACCCCCAGCGATAGGGGCGGGATGCGGGCAGGGGGCAGGGGGCAGGGGGCGCGGGGGCGCGCGTCCAGAGGCGCAGGCGCGGTGCGCGCGGCTCCTCCGTCGCGGGGGCGCTGCGCGTCGCCTCCACTCGCCCGGCTGCGAGCCGCGGGCAGTCAGGCCAGCTCCATGAGGACCAAGCAGGTGAACGTGCTGATCGCGCTGGCCGCCGTCATGCTCTTCAGCTTCTCCTGCTTCTGCATCTCCAGGATGACTCAAACCAGTAAGCCGCGGGTGGCCTCTCCACCACCGTTGCCGCCCGGAAACTCTGGCTTCGGGTCTGCCGGGTTGCCAGGGCGCTCGGGGCCGGGGGGAGAAAGGGGGGGCGACGTGAGAGCCCGGCGCGGCCGCCCGCTCTCGTAGGAGGTGTTTTGCAGATGCAGCCCCGGCGCCCCGTCAGACCGGCGGTTAGACTGTAACGCGCGTCCTTAGTCTGCTCCGGTGGCCGCGACCCCCGCCGGGCGCACGCGCTAACGGATCGGCCCCCCGGGGCTGGGGGCTCCCGGCGCTGTCCCGCCTCCGCGCGTCCTTTCCCCCCGAAGGTCCGAGGGTCCACTTTGCGCCCAACTTCCCGCCGTCCGCGTCTTGTTCTTCCCCATCCTTTCCAGAAACGTGCCTGTCTGAGTCAAGAGCTCTTTTTACAAAGCCAACACCTTCCCACCTTGGGGTTTCGAGTTCTGTTACTGAGCCACATTTCAAGGCTCCCGAGAGTATTTTTTGCGAGGCCAGAAAGGGGTGCGATGATGGAGACCCATTTAGAGCACGGGTGTGGCTCCTGAACTTTCTCAGAAGAGCCATGCGGCTTGTGTTACTACTTCGTAATACACCGACCTTTTAATTCATCTTGTTTTAGGGTTCCCAGTGTAGCAAACAAACGTAGAGATTGCCCAGGGAAATTTGAACTTTGGAAAAGCAGTGAGTAAACGTTTAGTATAAAAATTGCACAGGCTATATTTGTACCAAAAGACTTACTGTTTATCTGAGTTTCAAATTTAACTAGATTTGCTACATTCTGTCTTTTCAGTTCTACTTGTCCAAGGTCCAGTGTAACATTTTAGCGTCCATGTAGTTGGATTTTGAATTTAAGCTAATTTTAAGTTAATATATTTTAAGCCAGATTTCCAGGATTGTCCTTAGGTTGTTTTAGGTTCAATTTTCATTTTTATTAAACACATTTATGACCCAGGGTTCACACAAAGTGCCCTTGGTGGTAGTGTCCAGGATCGAGTTTGGAAGTGGCTTTAGTCCTCTAATTAATACGAAATTTTGTCGTGTATACACAATATCAACATTCTACTCCATTTGTTTCAAAGGATTAGAAATATATAATAATTTATCTCATTTATACTATTGTTTTTTAATCATTTTATACACTTTCCTCTTCCTGATTTTCTGTAAGAACATTATCCAAATGTGTTTTTATGTATTTTAGGACAACAAACTATTACTATTTTTATAACAAAAAATAAATCGTTACTCAGAATTAGAAAGTAAAATGTAAACTCCCTCCCCCCACCCTTTTTTGGTGCAAAATGGTGGTTTACTAAAGCACGGGAACAGGACCCATGGGTAGAAAGAGCTGCTGCTGTAAACTCCCTTTTAAAGTAACTTTGGAAGGCAGTTTGGATTGGTAATGTCAGAAGGTGTTTTAATAAAACTAATATTATTATATTATTTATTATAAACTGTGGACTTTGTGCTATGACCAGAAAGGAGAAGTTTTGTCCCTTGAAGCATTTATATTCCCATCATTCATATGTTCAAATTGAGAATATGAGATATTGTACTTGAAAATGCACCACTCTTGGAATAACTGATAAAACAGTGTTTTGTGTTTATGTTTCTGTGTAAGCCAGCTCTAAAATAGTTACAAAATCAATCCTGAGATGTTCTTATGTCAACAAAACAGACTTCATTTAGTTTTGGAAGCAGCGATTTTTAGAAGACACCAAAGATAGTTCGAATGGTTTTTAAAATTTGATCCATAACTGTAATTCTTACCAATGAAAACTTGGTTATATTTATTAGAAAGATGGCCAGGGGGTGCCTGGGTGGCTCAGTTGATTAAGTGCCCAGCTCTTGATCTCAGCTCAGATTTTGATCTCAGCCTGGTGAGTTCAAGCCCCATTCTGGGCTCCATGCTGGGCAAGGAGCCTACTTATTAAAAAACAACAACAACAACAAAAACTTGGCCACAACCTAGTGGGCATCTTTCCCCTTTTAAATTTATGTGTGCGTGTAACCTTTTGTTTCTATAAGCTCATAGCGCTAACAGTTCATTAATTTGCTCCATTTGTACATAAGCTCCATGCATAGAATTTTTTTCTTTCTGTTTTTGCCTGCTTGGTTCACTGCTGTGTCCCACATCTGGAAAAATGCCTGATATAATAGGTATGTTAAATATTTGTTGCATGGTTGGATGAATGAGTGAATTAATGATTTTGATAAATACTTCTTCATGTTGTAGGAACTAGGCAACAAAAAATTTTTAAAGCCTTTCAGGGAGCTTACATTCTGATTAAGGGAAATAAACAACAAACATGAATGATATTACTCTATGATGTCAGGTGTTGACAGGGGAGAGAAAGTGCTATTTTAGATAGGATGGTTAAGGAAAGTCATATTAATGCCTATTCCTGAATGAAGTAAGGGAGACTATGGTATGGCTATCTGGGGGAAGAGTTTTCTAGGCAATGAGAAAAGCAGGTGCAAAAGCCCTGTGGTGCAGTCAGCTTGATATGTTTGAGAAAACAGCTAGGAGGCTAATGTGAACAAGGAAGAGTTGTAGAGGGATAAGATCATGGAGACCATAGTAAGAACTATGACTTTTATTCTGAAGAAGATAGGAAGCCATCTACATGATAAGACGGTCAACATCACTAATCATCAGGGAAACATAAATCAAAACCACAGTGAGATACCACCTCACACCTGTTAGGTTGGCTATTTTTGAAAAGACAAGAAATAATGCGTGTTGGTGAAGATGTGGAGAAAAAGAGAAACTTCATGCATTGTTGGTGGGAATGTAAATTGGTGCAGCCACTGGAAAACAGCGTGGAGTTTCCTCAAAAAATTAAAGATGGAACTACTCATATGACTCAGTGATTCCACTTCTGGGTATTTATATGAAGGAAGTGAAAACACTAACTTGAAAAGGCATCTGTACTCCCATGTTTATTGCAGCATTATTTATAATAGCCAAACTGTGGAAGCAACCTATGTGTCCCTCAATGGATGAATGGATAAAGAAGTTATATATATTCTATTATAATAGAATATTATTCTTTTAGTCCCAGGCGTAGCTCTAAGTCAGCAGCGTCCAGAATGCATGTGTGGGCCTTTGAGACAATAATGGAAAGGTCTGGTGGAATTTAAAGTATATCTAGAACAACAATGCATGACAACGATTACAAGATAAGATAGAAGAGGGGTAAATGGGGTTAACTGGTATTAAACCTCTAGCACTGTTGAAAAATGAGAATGTGAGAAATTGTATTAGACTGTAGTAAGTCAAGGATTCACAATGAAATCTCCGGTCTAACTATTAAAATGATGCTAAAATAATGTATAACAATATCACTCATTATAGTTAATACTCCAAAAAGGAAATTAATGTTTTTTTCTGATTGGATATAAAAACAAAACCAAACGTGATGATATTTACAAGAGATACATTTAAATTTTAAAGGTAGAGAAATGTTGGAGGAAGGATGGAAAAGTGTACACCGACAACCTAATCCAAAAGGAAGTTGGTGTAACTATATTAATATCAGCAAAATAGATTCTAAGGCCAAGTGCAACATAAATGTTAGCTTCATTAGCAATCAAAGAAATGCAAATTAAAACATTTCTTTTATAACATTTCATACCATTCAGATTTTTAAATTTAGGAGATAAGACATTTGGTGAGGATGCGGAAGTGCAGGAATTTGCACACACTCCCCTTGGGAATGGGGATTATGCATACATTCAGTAACTTCCATTGTGTGACCTGCACTTCCTATGTCCTAGCAGTTCTGCCGGTCAGGACTGAAACTGGTGTGCAGTGTCACCCAGTGGTTTATGGCCAACTCTTCTTGTCACTGATCAGTACCCACATCATACAGGTTGTTCAATATTTTAGACAACATCCCTACCACCAGATATATACAAGGGAAACTCTTGAATATATTGACCTGGTATGTTCTTGGTAGCATTTTGTATAATTGTTCATCAACAGTAGAAGAGCTAAATGTGTTACCGTATATTCAAACAGTGGAACATTTAACAGTAGTGGAAATGATTGGACTAGAGCTTCACCTATCAGTATGGATAGATTGCAAAAACATACATTAAGAAAAAGAAGCAAGTACAAAAGAATAGATGTAAGTATTACTTATTAATATCTTAAAACAAATATCAATCAGTTTGCACAAGTGGTGAAACTTGAAAGAAAAACAATGGAAGATTAATACAAAATTCAGAATTCTGCTTATCTGGGAGTAAGGAGGAAAGGGAACATGATCTTGGAAGGAAACAGATGGAATATTTAAGGCTAAGGTAGTAGTGGATTCATGGATGTTAATTTTTATTATTGTCTTTCAAACTATTTTATATATGGTTTTCAAAGTCTGAAATATTTCATCATAAGACCTAACGCATAGAGGGATCAATCCAAGGGAATTCAAAGGGTGTTGTTCATAGTGGGATTTGATTATTGCAAAGCATATGTGGAGTGGAATAATCCAAAATATATTGTCTTTTTACCTTCATCTCCTACCAGCTGCCTCAGATAGTCTTTCTATCTGGGTACAAATAAATGAATAATAGATCTGAAGTGGTCTGCCCATTCTTCAACTTCATGCCACTCATTTCCTTCCTTTTGACCCCCCCAGTGAATTACTTGCTTTCCCCTCCATATGCCGTACCATTTCATACTTACGCACTTATGTTGTCATTTTCTTAGTTTGGAATGCCCTTCCCTGCCCTCTGCTGTAGGGCAACATTCTGCACATTCTTCAAGTTCTCAAATATTCCCTCTTCTCTGAAACCTTTTCCCTCGTCCCTCCCCCACTGCTCAGTCTTCCTTACTAGGTAAGCATTTCTGCCTCTCTCTGCCTATAGCACTTGAGGATAACTCCATTTTCACAATTATATTAATTGGTTGTTTAAATACATGCTCCTTCCTCCATCTCTTGTCAGATAATTTAGAGCAGCAACTTGACTATCCATGTTTAGCTGTCA